AATTTTGTACATTCAGTCAGGCTTATTTTTTGAAAGAACACTGAAAAAGCACAATTACCAAAAATTCAGAACACACACATGCAAACTATTGTATGGCATCTCTAAATAACACACAAACCATTTTTTTGCAAAATATGTATTATAATGGGCAGTCAGAGGTAAAGAAATACAGCTAAATCATTCAGTTTAAATGCTGGGTCAGCCATTGCCCTGCTATATATGGAGAAAGTATGCCATGTAGTGAAAAACAGTAAAAACTGCTTCTTACATTTGTGATGAGACTGTAAACACGGGCACAATCATAATTTTTTAAAATTATGCCAATATTTATGCTAATTAAAAATATATGATTTACATGAAAGTCAATGGCACAAAAAAATGCTTCAATGTGCTTAACTGTACAAAATGATTTCCACGTTTTAATAAAGTAGGTTGAATATTTTTTCAAACTTTTTTTTGTAATTCCTTCCAAAATACACATCCTCCATAAAAAATAGATAAATTGCATTAACATAGCCAAAGTTATTCACAAAAATACACGTGTCAGCACAAAAAAATGCTCTAATGTGAGGTAAGGGTTAAGTTTAGTTCACTCAGAAATCAAAAGACTCGGTATGAGTCTGCGTTAGAAGTTGCGATTCAGCTATTCTGTCTGGCTGACAGGAACAGCGTGAGAGGGGGGGGGGGGGGGGGGGAGAAAGGAGCCGGTGGGCTCCGTTCCCCCGTTAGCGGTTGTTCACACGTCCTCTCTCTTACGTTGTCCAACACGAACTGAATCATAAAACTGAAACTTACCAAAACCTTTCTCTTCTCAAAGCAAAACGTGTATGTCAGCAAATGTGTTTTGGAGTTTACTGTGAGAATCTGTGTGTGGGTGTGTTTGAGTGTGTGTGTGTGAAGGTCGTTAACAAACATCCTCAAACATTATTTAATTAAGTATGGATTCATTAATCCATTATAATTACTCAAAGCATAATAATCATTCATTTGATTAAAACACATTTATAATGAGCAAACTGATAATGATTATTCTTTAACATTAAAATCAAGAAAGGAAGTTTAAGACTTGTTATGTTATGACTACTTCCATGGGAACAACATCTTCTGTGGGAACAACATCTTCTGGCATGAAGCTGCAGGTGGCAGATGTTATGGTTTCCAGCAGACTCTTGCAGACTTCATGTCTGCAAAGGTCTCAATCTGTGGGTGAAAGTTCTCAGCGACCCAGCTTTGACCCAGCTGAGTCCAACACCACCTTTGTGACAGAAAACCCATATTTCCTCACGTTACAATGTCTTTTGATTCTTTAGAACACCCCTTTCTTTTTAAGGCTCTGGAAAGCTTTGGTTTTGGAATCCAGTTTTGTAATGTAAGGAGGATGTTATATAGAGATATAACGAGTAATGCTGCACTTAACCAATGTTTTTCAAATAGAATTGATGTAAAACATGGAATTCATCAGGGATGCCTACTTAGCTGATTATTATTTATTATCGCAGTGGAACTTCTGGCCATCCACCTTAGAAATTCTCCACACCTGAAAGGCATATACACTTTAGATAGGGAATTTAAAATTAGCCAGTTTGCTGACGACACGGCTTTGTTCCTAAAAAAACAAAAAAATGGTTTCTATTGGAGTCAGTAAAATCCTCTCACTTTCAAAGGCTTCTGGATTCACGTTAAATCTTAAAAAATGTGAAATCTTAGCTGTACATGACTGCAACCACAATCACATTGAAAATACCCCAGTAAAAGAGGAAGTGAAATATCTCGGTCTAACAATAACTAAAAATGCAAATGACAGAGAAAATGTAAACATAACTCCCTGTTTGACGGCTGTTAAAAAGACCCTTAACCACTGGCTGACAGGTTATTTGTCTATTCTAGGTTATGTACTGTTGTCAAAAGCAAAAGGCCTCTCAAAACTCATTTATATATGCTATTCAACCTTTGTTCCCCCCAAAATTAACCAAATTAACTACCTCAATTATATTCGAGTTTAGTTGGAAAAATAAATTCATCATATACGCAAATCTCAATTGGTAAAAAATTATGAAAATGGAGGTTTAAAAGCTTTAGACTTTTATCCATTATTACTACGTTTAGAATCAAATGGCTCAAAGAGTGCATCTCCCATTCACAATCTTTGTGGTATCATATCCCAAATAAAATTTTCATCAGGGTCAGTGGATTAGAATTTTTGCTTAAATGTGACTTCGATATTTCTAAAATCCCTTTAAAACAATCAAACTTCTATAAGCAGGCTTTGGACTTTGGAAAGTTGCTTTTTACCCATAACTTCTCACCTCACAACTCAGTGATATGGAATAATAGGGTCATAATAGACAACAAGAAGTCTTTATTCAAATCTGACTGGTATGACATGGGAATATGCTTTATTTATGATTTATTACATATGAATGGAATGACGTTGTCATATAAGGATTTCAAAACAAAGTACGGGATTGCTGTTTCTTACAAAGAATATAATAAACCTTGTGAAGCGATCCCCTTACCTTTCCTAAAGCTTATACAAAACACCACGCAATACTCTACAGTCCAAACTCACTTGCCCTCACTAAGAATTGAAAACCTTTAACTACACGATAGAAAATGCAACAATAAACTGATCACTTCAGCCTTTAAACAAAAGATATATTATAACTTTAACGTTAAAACTAGACTAGGTTTGGAAGTTACGTTTAGTAAGAAGTCCTTTTCCACCTATACTAAGTTTCTACTAGCACCTAAAAGAAACCCACTTCAAGGTTATATCTGGCATATACCCTACTGGTGATTTCTTATATACAAGATTCAAATTTGAATCTGACCCTTGTGTTTTTTGTTCATCAGAAGTAGAAACGATAGAACATTTGCTTACTAATTGTCAAACTATTAAGGTCGTATGGTCTGACGTTCATGGTTAGATCTCACGTACCTCGGTATATGGACGATCTGGATTCTGATATTTCTGATACTGTTAACCTCATAATTATTTTGTGTAAATACTTTATTCATACATACAAATGGAAGAATACAACACCTGTTTTTTCCTTCTTTCTGAACTCCTTCATACAGTACTTGTACTTGCATCCTTGAAATGTATTGCTATAATGAATAAGAAAACTACCAAAATAGATAGAAACATTTCTAAATCCTTGTTGTTTTAAACCTATCTGTTAAATGTCACATCATCCTTTTTTTTTAATTATTTTTTGTTGTTTCTTTTATATTTTAATTTTTCCTTTCTTTGCAAAATTATATAACTCACTTCATGTTTTTGCACCTGAAACTATTATAAAACTGTAAATTCCTGATTTGTTTTATACATGCTATTTTCGTAAATCAATCAATCAATCAATCAATCAATCAATCAATCAATCAATCAATCAATAAAATGGTACTTCGTCTCCCGGTCGCGTGATTTGGAATTCTAGGGTGTCCAAGGAAGATTCCGCCTTTCTTTCCTCTGATTGGCTTGAAAGGCTCTACTACGATTGGCTATTTTATTTAGCAGCAAATCGACTCTCCTTGCTAAGAGCAGACTGTCCTTCTGCCACCAGCAGAAAGCTGTTTTGGGGAGTTTTGGAAAAAAAATATATTTAACCCTTTGATGCATGAATTATGAAATCTTCAACCATGATTTTTTTAAAGAATTTTTTCAGTTGTATTTAGGTGTGAATGAAACTAATTTCAACAAATATTTTTTGTAAAATTTTATAATTTACAAATAATTTATTACATGTCCACCTCAGTGGACAGCGTGTATTCTGAGCATGAAATATGTTGGCTTGGCTTACTGAAGTCCAACTGGAGAGGCTCACATGCAATAAAGTCTTCAACAGCTGTGCTTAATAGCAAAAACAAATAAATAACAATTTTGAGTACCTGTCCACTGTAGTGACCATTATGCACCAAAGGGATATAAGTGACCTTAGCGCTATAAGAACCAATCTGTCCTGTTTTGCAACATATTTTATGTTTTATGTTTCATAAAAAAAACTTTAAAACGTAAAATGTGAAGTTATAATCTTGTTGCATTTATCAAACTGTTGGACTTACTTCACATCTCTTGGCTTTGAAGCATTAGAGTACACAGGATTAACATATGTGCCTTACCTGGGTACGAAATTTAATAAAACTGCCCACCTGTGTGCATCGGGTCTGTTTCTTTTCTAAAATAATGAAAACTGGTGAAAAACAGGTCTAAATCATAATCAGCTTTAACTTAATTATTGATTAAATGATACAAATTTTATCTGACGATGACAGATGTGCTCTAACTTGTAAACAGCCTTAACCTGTTAAAGTGAACGCATAGGATAGCCTAATAATTAAGTAATAAGATAACCCTAATAGAGGCAACAGAAAAAAAGTCAGCCTACAAAGTGATAAAATGCAGCAAGCATGGACGTAATTTTTTTTTGGGGGGGGGGGCATGTCCCCCCCACTTTTTCCAAAGTCAAGTTTTGACCCCTGCACTTTTTACCATCCAAAAACAATATTATACTATATTAAATTGACACTGGTTGAGCTCTAGGACCACGCAGAAAACAACCGTTTGTGTTGAAGCCCGTTTCCCATTAGAGCATACTGTAAAGATACCCCCCCCCCCCCCTCCCCCTGTCCCCTCCACTTCTAAAGTGAAAATTACGTCCATGGCAGCAAGATTTATTACAAGTTCACGTTTGACATTTTTCAGGTTCTTTTATGAAAGAAGCTGAAACTAGTATGTTGCAAAACAAGAAAGGACGTTTATTATAGCGATGAGTTCCCATTTTCCTCAAAAAACACCTCCTCAAGATCTGGCTGTAAAAACGCTCAGCGCGTGAAAACGGTGAAATAGCCAATGTAGGAGAGCCCTTCCAGCCAATCAGAGGTGAGAAAGGCAGGACCTTCCTTGGACATCCTAGAATTCCAAATCACGTCTCCCGGTCCACACTCCACCACCTCAGCCAGTAGGTGGCGGTAATGCACACTGCGTGCCGTTGCCAAGAACAAACGAGGCGGCTTCCGGTGGTCTTCCGGTATTGACAAGAAGCCGCTAGTTTCGCAGCGGTTGACTCGTGAAGTCGCGGAATCGATGTCTGAACTAGAGGAGCGATAACCACTAGTTTGGGCCCGACCTAGTAACGGTGTTGAAGCTAGATTCTCGTTTGCACCGAGTCGGATCCACCGCGCTTACCCGCGTGCTTTTGGCGCATCGGGTTGTGCGCCGTTTCTATGTGGTAGTCTGTTTGCGCGCTGCCTCCGGTGGAACATCTCCCAGATGGAGGATTCAAAGCCGTCGTACAGCAAGAGGCTGGTGAGTGCTGTCTGATGCTGTGTTGCTGCTAGCTGACCCTGCTCTACTGACTAGAGGCTAGACTCTGTGGGTGAAGGCTAGCTGACCCTGCTGTACTGACTAGAGGCTAGACTCTGTGGGTGAGGGCTAACTGACCCTGCTGTACTGACTAGAGGCTGACTAGAGGCTAGACTCTGTGGGTGAAAGCTAGCTGATCCTGCTCTACTGACTAGAGGCTGACTAGAGGCTAGGCTCTGTGGGTGAGGGCTAACTGACCCTGCTGTACTGACTAGAGGCTGACTAGAGGCTAGGCTCTGTGGGTGAGGGCTTACTGACCCTGCTGTACTGACTAGAGGCTGACTAGAGGCTAGACTCTGTGGGTGAAGGCTAGCTGACCCTGCTCTACTGACTAGAGGCTGACTAGAGGCTAGACTCTGTGGGTGAAAGCTAGCTGATCCTGCTCTACTGACTAGAGGCTGATTAGAGGCTAGGCTCTGTGGGTGAGGGCTAACTGACCCTGCTGTACTGACTAGAGGCTGACTAGAGGCTAGACTCTGTGGGTGAGGGCTAACTGACCCTGCTGTACTGACTAGAGGCTGACTAGAGGCTAGGCTCTGTGGGTGAGGGCTAACTGACCCTGCTGTACTGACTAGAGGCTGACTAGAGGCTAGAATCTGTGGGTGAAGGCTAGCTGACCCTGCTCTACTGACTAGAGGCTGACTAGAGGCTAGACTCTGTGGGTGAGGGCTAACTGACCCTGCTGTACTGACTAGAGGCTAGACTCTGTGGGTGAAAGCTAGCTGATCCTGCTCTACTGACTAGAGGCTGACTAGAGGCTAGGCTCTGTGGGTGAAAGCTAGCTGATCCTGCTGTACTGACTAGAGGCTAGGCTCTGTGGGTGAGGGCTAACTGACCCTGCTGTACTGACTAGAGGCTAGGCTCTGTGGGTGAAGGCTAACTGATCCTGCTCTACTGACTAGAGGCTGACTAGAGGCTAGACTCTGTGGGTGAAGGTAAAGCTGAGTACTGCCCAGCTGGTCCAAGAGCCGACGAGGAGGAATGGGGCCCAGGTCAGTGGTAGAGATGCACCTACAGGTTCTCAGAGCGACACGTCTCTACAGGTGTTGAATACAACCATGGGCAGCTCCAGGATTTTTTAGCAGCAGTTGCTCGGCCAGTATTTGGGGTTGCTGCGCCCCGGCGGCGCGGGTGGGACAAGATGAAAGTCCAGTGCAACAAACTGAAGTATAGGTGAACATTTGATCCTGCCTTTCAGTGTCACTGTTAGATATATATGTAATTATTGTTATTAGATGTTGCATCTATCTGAATTAAAGCTTTCCTACTATCTTACAGTTCCAGGTCAACGCTTCTACGGTGGCTCCGAGTAACTTTAGCTGTAATCACACAGTCAAGTCTTTTTTTAAATCCAAGTCAGATTCAGTAAAAATGTGCAGGTCTAACCAGTTTATCAGAGTTTTCTTATAACATTTCAACTGAATTTCCACAACAGAATAGTAAAAGTACCAGTAATATTTTCAGATCCATTTGTTTATTTTTGATTAATGTTCCACTAATATCAACATCCCGTTGAAATAAATAACCATTTTCTTCCAACTGTAGAAATAAAATGGTATTTATTCTAAAATGATGACAAATCTCTAAATATTTAAGAGATGAAAACGTCACTGACTTAAATATGTCATTTGTCAAAATTCTGAGACCAAGTCTAGGCTTCTGTTCATCCTCTCAGCATCTCTGTAATGTGCTGTAACAGGGTTTAGCCACAGCCCAGCACCTCTGGGTTATAAGCTTTGGGTTATAGCATGAACCGGTCTAATGAGTGGGACACCTGCTTTTGACCAACATGTTTTATGCGAGTCTCGGATTTTCTGCACCATTTCACATCAGACTCCTCACCGTGACATGGAGAAATGATTCAGAAACATCACAGAGACTCGGTGCAGACACAAGTGTTGTTCAACTCATTCGTTTTGATGGTTCGGGAACGCTCCACACGCTACGGACCTGCGTTTATGTCCCGCCTCCTGGTTTGATGCCAGCCACAACTTTCTCTACACTGTTTATGCAAGACTTAAACACGAAACAAGAGACGGTCAAAGGTGCGGGACAGAGTCTGGTCGCGCTACTCTCCGGGCCGTCGGGGGGCGTTTAAGAGTTGGGGTTGCTAAGCCGTTGCTTAGCCCAATCTAGCTACCACCTGGCGCCACCCATGACCACAACGTAGCTTACTCTGCAGTTTTAATCACACACCTACTTATTACCTTCTTTTGCATCCCTACAGCGAGCTGGTACCCGAAGACGTTACCATGACGATGGCATCTCTGATGAGGAGATCGATGGAAGGAGGATGTTTAACCTGGAGGAAAAAGTGATCAGCGAGCGGTTTAGCTCGAACCGAATCCTCCGTATGGAGGGGAAAGGTAGGCAACCACAGGATGACCAGAAACTACTTTAAACTCTTAAACCTGACTCAGTCTTTATTTATATAGCACCTTACAAACTAACCACCAGGTCATACAAACACGTCTTCAGCCAAATCACTGGAGTGGTAGACAACAGTAGCTCATTCCAGACCCTCGGACCTGCCACAGAGAAAGCCCCGTCTCCTCATCTTTAGGTGTGATCTGGGCATAGAGAGCAGCAGAATATCCTCCGAATGGAGCATCCCTGTCCAGATATGTGGTTGTAACAGAGTGGTTAAATAAGATGGAGCTATCCCATGCAGTGCTTTAAAAGACACTAGGAGAGTTTTAGAATAAATTCCACACCAACCTCCAGACCAGGCCCAGGAGGCATCCTGACCAGATGCCCAAACCACCTCAACTGACTCCTTTTGATCCGGAGGAGCAGCGGTTCTACTCCGAGTCCCTCCTGAATGTCCGAACTCCTCACCCTATCTCTAAGGCGTAGCTCGGCCACCCTACGGAGGAAACTCATTTTGGCCGCTTGTATTTGCAATTTCGTTCTTTCTGTCATTACCCAAAGCTTATGACCATAGGTGAGGATTGGGACGTAGATCATCGTCGTCATCGTCTTCCTCCGCTTATCCGGGTCGCGGTGGCAGCATCCCAACTAGGGAGCTCCAGGACCCCAAGGCATTCCCGGACCAGATTGGAGATGTAACCTCTCCAACATGTCCTGGGTCTAGGGCTGGGCGATATATCGATATTCTTTAAATATCGGTATAATTTCTAAACAAGATATAAGATGACTTTATATCTTTATATCGATATAACTGGCCAAACTGCTATGCTAGCGATTAGCCGCTATGCTAGCGACATGTTGCTCCGTCTCTAAGTGGTTATTACGTGTATTCTCACTAGTTTGCTCAGTCTGAGAGCCTCTGGATAAATGTGCTGCTCTAAACTTTGCATTTGGTGTCCTGATTTTTAATTATTTGGGGACGTTCAACGCCAACTGAGTTCTGTTTTCCATCCTGCTTGTGCGGAGAGACGAGCCAAACCCCTCCCTCCCCTGTGTAATGAGGAAACGGCTACGGAAAGCCGGAGTGGCCAAATGACCTGTAAGGGTTTGAATAGTAAACTATAGGGTTACCGTTTTATTTTGAAGGCGAACTCAACGGGTGAGCAATGTTGTTCCGGTTCCGTTTTTTTTCCGCTCTGGTTTGCTATGCTAGTAAATACTCCGTTACGAGTGATTCCGATGAAAAAGTTGAGTTTGTAAGGTGTGGGTTATGGCGACAGTAGCCCGAAAATAACACTCATAAAAGAGCAACCAGAGACTCTGAATCATTACAGTATAATCGCTGACATGAGCCAACACTGCTAACTAATAACTAACAACTAGTTAATAACTAGTTTTTCTAATAACTAATAACTCCATGGTGCATGACCCATGTGATCTTCAGTAGATGCAATTAAATCATCGTACATTTAGCTTACATGATGGATTTTTTTTCTCTGGACAAGACTTATACAATATGGGCCACCTCTATGAAATTTAAATAATTTTACATTAATTATAAATATATAATTAAAAAGTGCCTGTGGGACATTTGATACACCTCTGGCTCTCAACTGTGTGTGTGTGTGTGTGTGTGTGTGTGTGTGTGTGTGTGTGTGTGTGTGTGTGTGTGTGTGTGTGTGTGTGTGTGTGTGTGTGTGTGTGTGTGTGTGTGTGTGTGTGTGTTAGCAGACAGCTGTACCTGTGTTACTAAAGCTCAGACTGGTAGAGAATAGGCACTACGGTTAAAGTTTGACAAGAATCAATACATTAACCTACTGATTTATGTATATAATTTCTCAAGAGCTTGAAGTGAGTTAACTTGTCAACAGTTTACAGGAGGAAAAATATCGAGATATATATCGTATATCGGAATTCAGCTTAAAGATATCGAGATATAAGTTTTGGTCCATATCGCCCAGCCCTACCTGGGTCGACTGGTAAATCAAGAGCCTGGCTTTCTGGCTCAGCTCCCTCTTCAGTACTACAGATCGGCTCAGCGTCCGCATCACTGCAGACGCCGAAACAATCCGCCTGTCGATCTCCCGATCCCTCCTACCCTCACTTGTGAACAAGACCCCGAGATACTTAAACTCCTCCACTTGAGGTAGGACCTCTCCCCCGACCCGGAGTTGGCAAGCCACCTTTTCCCGGTCGAGAACCATGGTCTCAGATTTGGAGGTGCTGATCCTCATCCCAGCCGCTTCACATTCGGCCGCGAACCTACCCAGCAAGAGCTGAAGGTCAGAGCTGGATGAAAGTAGGAGGACCACATCATCCGCAAAAAGCAGAGACGAGATTCTCCTGCCACCAAACTTGACACACTCCACGGCTGCGCCTAGAAATTCTGTCCATAAAGGTAATGAACAGAACCGGTGACAAAGGGCAGCCCTGGCGAAGTCCAACCCTCACCGGGAACAGGTCCGACTTACTACCGGCTATGCGGACCAAACTCACGCTCCTCTGGTAAAGGGACTGAATGGTCCTTAACAGAAAGCCACCCATCCCATACTCCTGGAGCGTCCCCCACTGGGTGCCCCCGGGGACACGGTCATACAGGTGCTGGCCAGTAAATTAGAATATCATCAAAAGGTTGAAAATATTTCAGTAATTCCATTCAAAACGTGAAACTTGTACATTATATTCATGCAATGCACACAGACCAATGTATTTCCGATGTTTATTACGTTTAATTTTGATATTTATAGGTGACAACCAATGAAAACATCAAATCTGGTATCTCAGACAATTAGAATATTCTAAAGGCCAATGAAAAAATGTTTGTTTCTCTAATGTTGGCCAACTGAAAAGAATGAACATGAAAAGAATGTGCATGTATAGCACTCAATACTTAGTCGGGGCTCCTTTTGCCTCAATAACTGCAGTAATGCGGCGTGGCATGGACTCGATCAGTCTGTGGCACTGCTCAGGTGTTATGAGAGCCCAGGTTGCTCTGATAGTCGTCTTCAGCTCCTCTGCATTGTTGGGTCTAGCGTATTGCATCCTCCGCTTCACAATACCCCATAGATTTTCTATGGGGTTAAGGTCAGGCGAGTTTGCTGGCCAATCAAGGACAGGGATACCATGGTCCTTGAACCAGGTGCTGGTGGTTTTGGCACTGTGTGCAGGTGCCAAGTCCTGTTGAAAGGTGAAGTCTGCATCCCCATAAAGTTGGTCAGCAGCAGGAAGCATGAAGTGCTCTAAAACTTCCTGGTAGACGGCTGCATTGACCCTGGACCTCAGGAAACAGAGTGGGCCAACACCGGCAGATGACATGGCACCCCACACCATCACTGACGGTGGAAACTTTACACTGGACCTCATGCAACGTGGATTCTGTGCTTCTCCGCTCTTCCTCCAGACTCTGGGTCCTTGATTTCCAAAGGAAATGCAGAACTTGCTTTCATCAGAAAACATAACTTTGGACCACTCAGCATCAGTCCAGTCCTTTTTGTCCTTGGCCCAGGCGAGACGCTTCTTGCACTGTTTCTTGTTCAAGAGTGGCTTGACACACGGAATGCGACACCTGAATCCCATGTCTTTCATGAGTCTCCTCGTGGTGGTTCTTGAAGCGCTGACTCCAGCTGCAGTCCACTCTTTGTGGATCTCCCCCACATTTTTGAATGGGTTTGTCGTCACAATTCTCTGCAGGGTGCGGTTATCCCTAGAGCTTGTACACTTTTTTCTACCACATTTTTTCCGTCCCTTCGCCTGTCTGTTAATGTGCTTGGACACAGAGCTCTGCGAACAGCCAGCTTCATTAGCAATCACCTTTTGTGTCTTGCCCTCCTTGTGCAAGGTGTCAATGATTGTCTTTTGGACAGCTGTTAAGTCAGAAGTCTTCCCCATGATTGTGGTGCCTTCAAAACAAGACTGAGGGACCTTTTAAAGGCCTTTGCAGGTGTTTTGAGTAAATCAGCTGATTAGAGTGGCAGCAGGTGTCTTCTATATTCAGCCTTTTCAGAATATTCTAATTTTTTGAGATACCAAATTTGGAGTTTTCATTAGTTGTCACTTATGAATATCAAATTTAAATGTAATGAACATTGGAAATACATTGGTCTGTGTGCATTGCATGAATATAATGTACAAGTTTCACGTTTTGAATGGAATTACTGAAATATTTTCAACCTTTTGATGATATTCTAATTTACTGGCCAGCACCTGTAAGCCTTCTCCAAATCCACAAAGCACATGTGGATTGGTTGGGCAAACTCCCATGCCCCCTCCATCGCCCTTGCAAGGGTATAGAGCTGGTCCACAGTTCCACGGCCAGGACGAAAACCACATTGCTCCTCCTCTATCCGAGATTCAACTATCGATCGGACCCTCCTCTCCAGTACCTTGGCGTAGACCTTTCCCGGGAGGCTGAGGAGTGTGATCCCCCTATAGTTGGAACACACCCTCAGGTCACCCTTCTTAAAGATGGGGACCCCCACCCCGGTCTGCCACTCCACAGGAACTGCCCCCGATGACCACGCAATGTTGCAGAGACGTGTCAACCACGACAGCCCTACAACATCCATAGCCTTGAGATACTCATGACGAATCTCATCCGCCCCCGGGGCTCCGCCGCTGTGTAGTTGTTTGACTACCTCAGCAACTTCTGCCCCAGAGATTGGACCGTCCATCCCCAGGTCTCCCGGCTCTAGCTCCTCCTTGGAATGCGCATAGGTGGGATTGAGGAGCTCCTCAAAGAATTTCCTTCTTTTTTTTTTTTTTTTTTTCCCCTGTGTCCTGTCTGGCTGTGAAGCAAACAGAATTGATGTCTGAATGCTGGTGACAAGCCTTACAGATTTACTCTCAGGTGGAGCATCAAAGCGTTTGCTTTTAATGTCACGCCTGATACTTAAAACTTTATTGTTATTGTTTTTGAATGCTTTGCAATTCCAACCAGACACGGAGACAGAGGTGAAAGAGAAAGGAAGAGACAAAAGGTGGGGAGAGGGGGGAAGGGGGTGGGGTTCCACAAAAATAAACAATAATGAACAAGAGTCTGCTTCTACACCTGCAGAAAGGGAAAGAATAGAAAAAATGGGACACAACAGTACATCAGGAGCAAGCTATCACTGCGTCAGCCTGATGATGAAATATAAAGTCAACATCCGCATCCTCTCCCGACGCGCTGGGGCTCCCTAATTGTCATATTTTGACGCTTGGTCACACACGTCATTATTTGACGCTTTGGGTGTAAGAATGTGCTGCAGAGACACAATAAAGCAGACAGTAAACCAAATTACAATTTGCGGCAGAGCAATGAGGCAACTGCCCTGAGTTCAGCTTGCAAGTTTATTTTATAACCTGAGATAAGGAAAGAACAAGAGGTGAGCGTGTGAATGGGAGAGAGGTCTTGACAGGAAGAGACAGTGTGTGTGTGTGTATGTGGGAAGCTACAAGGTAATAAGAATGTGTGTGTGTGTGTGTGTGTGTGTGTGTGTGGGAAGCTACAAGGTAATAAGAATGTGTGTGTGTGTGTATGTGGGAAGCTACAAGGTAATAAGAATGTGTGTGTGTGTGTGTGTGTGTGTGTGTGTGTGTGTGTGTGTGTGTGTGTGTGTGTGTGTGTGTGTGTGTGTGTGTGAATGCTTCAGGCATATGGTAATACATTTGTTAATAGGCTTAAAGTAATGAAATATAAAATTTCCATAACATACATAAACCAGGGTGTCCGCGGGTTTTTAAAAAGTATTAAAAAGTGATAAAATTGTCAAATTTAAGGCCATTAAAAGTGTTAAATTTGGTCTCAGAGGTATTATTTTTTCCAAATTAGGTATTATTTTTTCAGACTATCAGATGTCGTATTCTGAACATCGGCATAGTAATGTATTCCGAATGAAATGTTTTGAACGATTATAAAAACAAAGCAAGCCGATTATTTGCTCCTCCCACTTGCGCTGCCTTGAGTTGCAAATGAAGCGCTCCTCACAGTGTTGCCAAGTTAACTTAGCGACTTTGACGCTATTTCTAGCAGCTTCAGACCCCCTTCTTGACTTTTTAACTTAAAAGTACCTAGCGAACACCTCAGAAACATCTCTGGTAACCCTTAGCTACTTTCTGGATAACTGTCGTCGACATTTCCTGCAGGTTAGCTAAACACTCCGCCTGCGCTCCGGACCGTTCTTCACAACATTAGGAAAGGGAATGATGTAGTGATGTGTCGGTCGCTAAAGAAACCGCTCTCAGAGCCGGCTCCTTGTTGGAGTAACCAGAGTGAGTGACACACACACCGCACCTGCGGACTCCTGAGCCACTAAAAACGGCTAAATGTGCGCGTGCGGCGCGCTAAACACACGTGCAGCTTGCCCCTGATTGCTGTGAGACCGGGTTGGGGGGTGGGGGTGCAGCTGTGGTTGGGACAATTATTACATTAACTGATGAACTTGTAAATAAATAGTTTATAAATAAGGTAGAAATAAGTTCCTCACGCTGATAAATAATAACTAATCTCTCTGAGGACACGGTGCTAGTGCACTCTCCTACAGCACCTTGACACGACTCAATAAATGTTATGCAAAATTTTGTGAACATCAATTTATTTGCATTTATTTGTTATAAATGCCACTGTATAATTCTTGTTGTCCGTATTTGCAAGATATTGGTATTTGGGTCTGTACTGGTTAGACTTAAATGAGTTAAACAAAGGTCTATAGCCCTTGGGTCATTTGCTATAAGTATATTGGTCTTTTTATACTGGGAATCAGGAGTTCTTTTAGTGATCATCTTGTCTCTTGTTTATTTTTGCCCTGAGCAGTTTTATGACTGAATAAAAACAACAACAAAAAAAATCTACATAAATTGAAAAATAATCGAGATCTCAATTTCAGTCACAATAATCGTGATTATTGTTTTTGCCATAATCGAGCAGCCCTACTTTAGCATATCCGGTCACATAATGATGACGTCATATTCAGAGGTCGTTCTGCATCATTTCAGGCCCCGTGGTCAACTGTCTGAACCGCTGAAACGAAGTGCCTGGCTTATTTTCTAATTAAAATAAATATGTGCAATACGTTGTCAACATCATTGAGTCTCTAAGTCTATTCTTTTTGTATGTTATATATGTTAAAAATATGTGTAAATAGGTCGCTGATTAACACTTGCAATTTAGTGTTGTGATGGTTTAAAAAAAATTCTTAAGGTAGTAAAAAAAAGTATTAAAAAGTAGTAAATTTTACTTAAGGATTGCTGTATATACCCTGTAAACGCAACTCAGTGTGCTAAAAAGATTATTAGAGTGGGACTTTAAATGGTAATAAGTTAATAAATTAACCGTTTTTTAGAAGAGCACCTGGCCCTCAATGTCTGTTGGGAAAAACTCCAACCCTTGAACAAATTTAGTTGGGGCCAGCAGTGGACGTACCAAGTCTTCTGAATGAACTTAATATATTTGTTAAAGTTAGAATGTGGAACATTTGAATAACAAGTTATATTTAAAAAAATAAAACCTCTGCAGGGCATTCAGAGGTAAATGTACAGTTTCTCCTTTAAAAGCTGTATTTAAGACAGAATCTAATTTATGTTGTCGGCACGACACTGCGTTTTTGTTTACATCTACCAGCCACTAGAGGGCACCATTGCACTAAAAAGTCTGCTCAGCAAGGCGAGGTTGGGACTGTGGAATATAGAGGACTTGACAAGTCAAGCAGCTGATTCTGAGCCCAGAAGATGTTCTAACAGTAAAAAAGTTTAGAGTAGAAATGAGTCCTTGTTCTGTACGACTTGTCCCTGAACATGCTGCTGGAACGTGTCAGCAGTGAACCAGCATGCCAACTGATGGAAAATTAGTCCTGTTGGTGCTATACCACCTCTGAACACTAGAGTTTGCCAGAGTGTTCCATAGTCTACCTTTAACTCATTCACTGCCATTGATGACTAAAGTCGTCATTTTAGATCCAACCGTTCAGTGCTAATGACGACTAAAGTCGCCATTTTAGATCCAACCGTTCAGTGCTAATGACGACTAAAGTCGCCATTTTAGATCCAACCGTTCAGTGCTAATGACGACTAAAGTCGCCATTTTAGATCCAACCGTTCAGTGCTAATGACGACTAAAGTCACCATTTGCATTTTTTTACTGTTTGGGCATCGGAACGAGCCCCCGCGCCGAGAGGACAAACATCCCAGCTCTAAAGCCGATCTTCACCTGCATACGTCACGTCACGTGATCAGGAAGCAGAAAATCCATGTGTCAGGAGATCGTTTTGGGCCGCTGCTGTAAAAAAAGTGTGGTGCGAACCGGAAAAGCTTCTGCCGATCACAATTCAACAACGGATTATGAAAGAACGGATAAAGCTTGAAACGCGCGTTCTTCCTGATGTAAGAGGTGAGTCTCCGCTTTGTTTTGGTTGCTTTTTCGTCGACATCATCCTAGCGCGCAACGTTCTGTGACTCTTACCCCTTAACTCCACTATCTCCGCTCCGGTACGAACTCCGCAGCAAAAACGGTCCCGTTATAGTCAATCAGAGCTGTTCCACTATTGCGGCACTGCGCCGCCCACCGTTCCGCCATCCGGCAAAAATAGGATCGATTCTATTTTTGCCGGACGCCGGAGCACCTCCGCAGTCAAGGGACAGAAATCACAACCGCCCAACAGGAAAAGGAGCAAGCACAACTTCCGTTATTTCACAATCAATCGATAAACAAAAGGCGTTTTTTGTTTCATATGCACAGGTTTAACAACTTTTAACAACTATCAATGGCGGCTGAAGTTTAAATGCACAAAAGTAAGCCATAAATACAGTTTCTACTATCAAAGTAGTCACACTTTGTTGATCCAAACACTGCTGATCTCTCAACACAAATGATGGGCAGATTAAACAGTTCATGCCGATGCTTCTCCCACACAACGGGTGTTTGGATCTAACTTCCGCGTTTATTGCTCGGACTGTATCGCAAGATCTCGAAAATCCAGCGCATGCCTGTTTGCCCCCCTCAGGTCTCCGCACCGGAGCGGAGCCGTTGTAGACCGGGTACCAGTAAAAATTGAGTTCGGAAACGAGCGGCAGCGGGGGCGGAGCGGAGATAGTGGAATTTTGGGGTTAAAAAACAGTAAAAACGGTGAGAAACGCTGGCAGCAAATGAGTTAATAAAAGCATTTGATCCTCATACAAGTTCGTATCAGTCAGTAACCAGCAGACTGGCTTCCTCTCTTGCAGACCTGCAGTGGTGGCATTCTGCTTAAACATCTAAAAGTTTCCAGGATAGAAGTGAAGTGGCTGAAATGTTATCCTGCTTTATGCTTTTCTGTGTGCTATAAACCACATTCACCCTCCATTTGTGTTCTTCAGACTTCTCCTACGAGTTTATCCAGAGAAATGGTCTGAGGGATCCCATCCTCTTTGAAAGTCTCAATGGGCTGGGTATCAAGTAAGCGTTTCGTTTAGCTAGCTGTTCCTGTGTTCTGTAGCTTTTCCTTTCAGTTGATGATATCCAGGCCAGAGTTTGAACCCTGTCGTGTTGATGTTTGTTTGTAGGATGCCAGATCCAGAGTTCACTGTGAATGATGTGAAGATGTTTGTTGGTAAGTTCTTTTGTTATTTGTGTTTGTTGGTGGATGCTACCACTTCTTCCAAAGGGCTGAAACATTTATGGCGCTTTGACATCTGACGTCTCCTTTAAGCCCCATGAGATGTCTAAGCTGCAGCTGTTACACACCTGCTTAGACTCTAACAAAACCTGGATGGTGGGAGCTTTCTTCAGCTGAATGAAGATAAGACTGAGATCGTCATCTGTGCCCCAGACAAGCTGGTTCCCAAAGTCAGAGACTCTCTTGGTCAGCTTGCTTCCCACACCAAACCTTCCGTCAGGAATCTTGGCGTGACCTTTGACCCAGCTCTCACCCTGGATTCTCATGTCAGTTCTCTTGTTGGCTCTTCCTTCTTCCATCTCAGGAACGTTGCTAAGCTGAGTCCCATTCTGTCCCGCTCTGAACTTGAGACAGTTCTCCACTCCTTCATCTCCTCACGCTTAGACTACTGTAACTCTCTTTTCACGTGTCTGAGCAGAACCTCCCTGAACCGTCTACAGGTGGTTCAGAACGCCTGTGCTCGGCTTCTGACCAAGTCCTCCAAACACACCCACATCACCCCGCTTCTCCTCCAGCTTCACTGGCTGCCAGTCAACTTCAGGGTTCATTTCAAGATCCTGGTTCTGGTCTATAGGGCCTTACATGGACAAGCACCATCTTACATTGGTGATCTTCTTAGTGCCTACACCCCCAGCAGGTCCCTGAGGTCCAGTGACCAAAGCCTACTGGTTGTGCAGCACCAGGCTAAAGGTCAAAGGTGACAGATCATCTGCTGCTGTGGCCCCCAGACTCTGGACCTCTCTCTCCCTGAGCCTGAGATCAGTGGACTCAGTGGTCTCCTTTAAACTCACCTGTTCAGGCTTTGGTGGGACCTTCATCACCTCCCTCTCCTTGTTCTGCTCTTATTCCTCCTTTCCCGGGATCCACTGATTTCCCTCTTTATTTATTTTCTCTCTCCTTTCCTTATAGTTTTATATTTTATGACATTTTCTGTTTTATTTCTCTCTCTTTAAACATGTTTTTAAATATTTTTTAAAATCTTTTTTATACCTTAATTGTTTTTTGTGAAGCGTTTCGGGATTTTTATCTTGAGAGGCGCTTTGATGGTTTTATTTCTTCTTTTTTTTTTTTTTCGGAGGCTCCCCGTGACGGTAGGCGAGTATTTGAGCTGACCAGTCAGTTTCAGTGGGTGAGTTGTACCTGTGTAGCCTGAAGCAGACCACCTTGGTATGTGGGCTGAAAAACCGACCAGGTGAGCATGGACAAGTCCAAGGCCACCTAGATGTGAACCGTTTATAAGCTCCCCAGTGGTCTGTGCTGGCCCAGATGTGAAAGCACCATCAGTCCTGGAAGAAGGAGAATAAAATAAGTCCGGTGTGACTTTGCATGTTGACACTAGTACCTTCCTTGCAGGCAGCAGGCGCATGATAGACGTGATGGATGTCAGCACTCAGAAGGGGACGGAGATGTCCATGGCCCAGTGGACACGTTACTATGAGACACCACCCCCTCAGAGAGAGAAGCTCTATAATGTCATCAGTCTTGAGTTCAGCCACACCAAGCTGGAGAGCTTAGTGAAGAGACCGGCCACGGTACGGACCTTGTTACAACCACTAATGCAGGAGAAGACCGAGTTGTGACTGTTGCCTCTGCTTTTCTGGGTGTAGGTGGATCTCATCGACTGGGTGGACAACATGTGGCCTCGTCATCTGAAGGAGAAGCAGAAAGACTCCACCAACTCCATCACTGACATGCAATACCCCAAAGTGCAGAAGTAAGGTGTTGTCCTCTTTCCTCTGGATGTGGAAGTGTGTCAGGTTTGTCATGTCCACTGTCTCCCACAGGTACTGCCTTATGAGTGTTCAGGGCTGCTATACAGACTTCCACATCGACTTTGGAGGCACCTCAGTGTGGTACCACATTCTCAGAGGGAGCAAGGTGGGTCAAAGAGCCTTAGTTGAATGAACGCTAGAGGCATTAGCGGCACAGAAAGACATTGGGGCGGTTTACTCTTTACTCCACATGTGTCAGACACAAGGCCCACGGAGCATTTTTATGTGGCCCACGAGATAAATATCAATAATATATTAAAACTGACCCACTGGCCGATTTTACAGCATAGACTACAACTCCCATGATGCTTTGTGGCGTTAGCGCGGAGCCAAAGTGCCCCCTCCTTTGTGTTTTTTCCAGTGTCTGCTGCCGGTATCTGCAGCTCCGCTGTCTCGGACAAACTAAACACTCCTCTCACTCAGCGCCGAGTTCACTCAGCTGTTTTCTGACGCTGAAGCCCAGAAACGGAGATTCTAGCTGCTCAGTAATGTGTTCACGACTGAAAGAGAAAGTTTTCCAACTAACGTCCAGACAGAGCTGATATAACTCCAGCGAGCAGCGACACGCTCAAACCAGCACAACTCTGTGGTTGTGTTTCCTCCCCGACACACAACAACGTGGTCAAGCTGCTCAGACATGTTCATCAGCACAAACCTATGTGAGCACCTGTTGTCATCTAATGTTGTCATTATTATGATGAAGATGAACAAAACAACAGGAGTCTCCTCCTCAGCTCAGATCAACCCCATGATGCAGGTATCTGGCTGGAACAGGTGAGCATCACAGTAAACCAGTGGAGCAAACTGAGCTTTAAATATTTAGGTTTTATGCTCTTTTTCTGCTCCAAAACATGAAAGTTAACAGGTGAGATGTTGCATTGTCATTTAAGATAAAATGATATTTTATTTTGTTGTTGGCCCGTGAGAAAAGATTTAACCTACAGTAAACAGGAAGTGGAAAGGCTGCAGATAGATGAATAGAATAGAAAATCCCTTTATTGTTCCTCAGTGGGGAAAGCTAGACGTCACAGCAGCGATGACACGTATTACAGGAGAAAAAAAGAATAAAATAAGAAAAATGAATAAACAAGAAAACATAAATCCTGAATAGATTTTAAAAATGCTGACTATACCACAAGTAATGAATACCACTGATGCCTTTTATTTAAAACGGACTTGCTCGTGTGTAGTTTGGTTATTCCACATTCAGTGTTTGTTTAAGCCATCCGCCATTAAACCAAGTAGAAGAAGGGGATCCTGTGTGATATCGCTGTTGTCATCTATCGCTGCCTGGATTAAAGCCATGAGAAACACACCGCTGCACTTCTCCAACGATTCTGGGACTAAATAAGCTGTTGGGTTACACGCATTGACTTCATCTACATAGATAAGGAAATGCATCTCTGCAATAGTCTTATTTTGAAAAATTACCGGAGGTTTTACACTGATAGGGTGTGAGATTTCCTGTCTAGCTCTATGTTAACTGCAGAACTTGATGTGTCCCCAAATCGACTCATAAGTAGCACAGCGTCCTGCTTCAGGGCCCAGCCTGAAATGTTCCGTACCGTGGCCGGTTTGGATCGACTCGTAGATTATAATCCAGACGTTCTGACTGTGTGTAAGCTAACAGACAATCAGAGAGCAAAAATGTGTGAGTGTACCTGTTTTATAGGTTTATTTGGACATTTCTTAACGTTACCATGTGTGGGCATTTCCACATTGTGGGTACATTTTGCTGCTCCACACAATGCTAAGCTCCCTAAAACTTGGTTTTAGATGTTTGGTGTGAATGAACGTTTAGGTTAGAGAAAGTCCGCCGTGTCCTCCTTTATGAGCTAAACGCAGGCGGATATGAGCCGTGCTGCTCTTGGAGACTCGGAGCCCTACATTATTTTATTAATGTGTGTGTGCCCACATTACACACACACACACACACACACACAAACACACACACACACGGCTTGTTTTTTTGTGTACTCAGCCAAGTATTATTTCATACTGTACTTTATTTCACACTACATACACACCTGTAGGGTTTTCACACACCAAAAGAGAAGCCTTAGCTTTTACTCGAAGGAAAACACTCCCGATGTTTTGGATTGGGGTCCGTGCCCCAAGCGGCAGGCTGCCTGCAGAAGTGTCTGACTTTACATCGGGTCTTGTAAAGAGGGTTATGGGCTGATGAAATGGTAAATTCAGCCCGATTAATCGGCTGAGTGATAAACCTGTCCAACCCAAGTTTCTGAATCCATTTGATGTTGTAATTGTTGTGAACCTAAATTAGGCTCTGCCAATTAATGTAGCGTTATGGTTTATGCTCTTTTATGAAAGAGGGACCATTCTACATATTAATTTGTGATATTAATTTTATTAAATTAATATCACAAATTGTATAGTTTTAAGAAGACTCAAAGGTTGTTTTCATCGATAAACTGTCAATAATATCCGTGGGTCTGTGTTTCAGTTCAATGAAGAAACAAGTTTGAAAGTTAAAAGTTTTAATTCTTCAAATTAAACTAATGATTTTGAAATGACAATCATATGAAACAACAATCAACATTGGCAACTTTGTGGGACAATCTTTAACAGTTGATATGCTGTTCTTGCTCAAATGGACCTTGTGGTGAATGTGTGAAGATTGAACATGAGGTGAGATGAATGCGTGTGTGTGTCAGATTTTGCTTCAGGAAGAAACAGGTGTCTGAGTGAAGTGATGGTTTGGATAAACTTAGGTCTTATTGAAAAACTGCATCAAACGCTAACTACCGTGTTCTGCCTCACCGAAAGTCGGACCCTCTTTTAGATCCGGGCCGCCAGAGGATGGTGATGTTCATCCAGGTGACACCAGCGATGGTGATGTTCATCCAGGTGACACCAGAGGATGGTGATGTTCATCCAGGTGACACCAGCGATGGTGATGTTCATCCAGGTGACACCAGCGGCTGGCAGAGGAGACGTAGGTCTCCTGCGAGCCCGGTCCAGAGTTGCCCTCGGTACACGTTGATGGAAAAACGTTTGCAGATGTGTTTTGTTAAGTTTAGTTCACTCAGAAATCAAAAGACTCGGTATGAGTCTGCGTTAGAAGTTGCGATTCAGCTATTCTGTCTGGCTGACAGGAACAGCGTGAGGGGGGGGGGAGAGAAATGAGCCGATCGGCTCTGTCCCCCCTTTGGTTTCTTCAGGTCCTCTCTCTTTCGTTGTCCAACACGAACTGAATCATAAAACTGAAACTTACCAAAACCTTTCTCTTCTCAAAGCAAAACGTGTACGTCAGCAAATGTGTTTTGGAGTTTACTGTGAGAATCTGTGTGTGGGTGTGTTTGAGTGTGTGTGTGCTTGAGTGTGTGTGAAGGTCGTTAACAAACATCCTCAAACATTATTTAATCAAGTATGGATTCATTAATCCATTATAATTACCCAAAGCATAAGAATCATTCATTTGATTAAAACACATTTATAATGAGCAAAATGAGAATGATTAATCTTTATCATTAAAATAGAGAAAAGGAAGTTCAAGACTTGTTATGACTACATTTCCTGGGAACCCATCTTCTGGTACAAAGCTGCAGGTGGCAGATGTTATGGTTTCCAGCAGACTCTTGCAGACTTCATGTCTGCAAAAGGTCTCAATCTGTGGGTGAAAGTTCTCAGCGACCCAGCTTTGACCCAGCCGAGTCAAATGACCTTTGGCACAGAAAACCCATATTTCCTCACGTTACATAATCCTGTTCTGCTGCTGGAGAATCAGCCTCTCTCTCTGTCACTCACCCACGGTGCTGAGAGACAGACGTTTAATATCGGCTGTAGTAGCAGAGCCGTGTAAGGGAGAAAACAGGAAAATAACCAATGCAAGGGTTTAATTTACATCTATTTAATGAACCATAAGATGTGAGATTCCATAGAAAATATTAAATCAATTTTATGGATCTTTGGGTACTTTCAACCAGAAGATTGGAACTTTTATTGCAGGGATTATGTAACACTTCGTATTAACTGAGAGACACCAGAAGACAGTCACCTTTAAAATGTTTAAGAAGATTTATTTCTATACAATTTTAAACAAGACTAACTCTAAACTCTGAGTGATGAAGGGATCTTGGTGTGAATGAGACGTGAAATGGATGGTGTATGTGTGAGTGATGCTGTCATCAGAACTCTCGTATCCGGAGAAGCAAGTCTGAGTGATGCTGTGATGTTTTGCTCTTAAGCTATGATCGGAGTTTCATAAACACATCAGACGCCATGTTGTCGCTCCACACACACCCTTCAGGATGAGACCTCCGTACAGATCCAGAATGCCAGGTCCTCGGACCCCTCTTTCGGTACCGGAGCCGATGAAACAGCGTCAGCTGTACGACAGACTAGTCTTTGGATTGTCTCCAGGTAAAAAGCGACAGTTGGTTGACAGCGTCAGATGGACCCGGAGGGTCAGTGAGTTCAGCTTTTATTCTGAAAGGAACCGTTGCGTGGTTAGTAAAGTGCAACAGATTTTATCCAGCTTGTTGGTTCTTTGCTTAAAAGGAAGTCCGGGTGGCCGGTCCGACACTTCTCTTAGAGTGCGGTGAACTGACTTCAGATGGCGTGGGGACTGGTTTTATTAATCTGGATTTATGGTCGAATCAAAGTTGGACAGATTTATAAACACCACAGAGACTATGCCACGCTTCAGAAAGGAAGGTTCTGATTGGATGAGAAAGATAAATGTGTCATGTGACTTTAAGCCTTACGTGAATCAGTTTGTCTAGTGGAAACATTTAAGTTATATTACTTATTATAACTTACTAATCATAACATTGTCATTTCACAGATTGGTTCACATCTTATTATTGACTAACACTTTGTTTGATTAGCTTTATTAAAAAATAGAAAGAGTTTGTCTTCTTTCTTCTCTTCAGCTGAAAATAAGAAGTGTTTGAAGCAAATGCATGACCTTGGGGCAGTCTCATGCAGATTAGTTCTGTCAGAGACATCTGAGGAGAGAGGGTAAATAACCTTCGGTGGAATAGCTCCGTCATCACGTTACACCGAAATGGGCTCAGCTCCAGTCCCGATACCTCCCCCCTCTCAGCTGTAAAGGGAAAGCCTCAGATGTCTAGAATAGTTACTACAGATCTTGGGTCAGGCAGATACCACCACCAGAGGGAGCCACTTCTGGGGTCAAGAGTCCTTGCAGCAGAGCCAGTGATCTTAGAGGAGACTGATAGAGTGGAACCAGCGGGTTATTGAGGAGTCTCTAGGATATCTTAGCTGAGTCCAGGGGTTTCCTCAGAACGTAAAGACGTTGCTGACACCTGCTGAGCGTCTCCCCAGTGTTGGATCTGAACACCTCCACTAGCTCATCTAGTTCCCCATGGATGATGGAGGTGGCTGCTGTGGTCAGGTCCCTCTGCTTTTTGGGGAAGGTCACGGCCGTCTCCTTGGTTTTGCTGACGTTCAGCTCCAGACATGACCTGGGGATCTGGTCTGTGAAGATACCAGTTGGGCTGCATGGATCTGCAGTCATCTGTGTACAGGATGAAGATCAGGGGTGAGAGCATGCAGCCCTGGGGGGAGCCAGTTCTGAAACACTGTTGTTGACCTCTGTTGGTCAGAAAGTCCAGGATCCACAGAAGAAGTTGGGGGGACATTTTTGGGCCAGGGTACTAGCCTGCAAGGTGTTAAACTTAGGAGAGAAGTCTGCTGACAGCTGTCTGAGCAGCAGAGGTGCTCCAAATCTTCATGGCTGTCTGCGCAATATGGAAGGGAATCCATGTCTCTGATGATGTGGTTTTATGGTCCTCTCTTTTGGGATAATGAAGGTCAGAAAAGGGTTAGGGAGTTTGATCCTCCAGCTAACGTTAACCATGTGTGATGCTAAAGAGCATGTGTGTGTTTAAGGTCTTCTGGCTGATCCCACCAACCCATCCAAACCTGGAGCTGTATGAGAACTGGGTGCTGTCAGGTAAACAGGGAGACATCTTCCTTGGAGATCGAGCCTCTGACTGTCAAAGGATAGAACTGAAGCAGGGCTGCACCTTCATCATCCCGTCAGGTACACCTGTAACCTAAGGTTTCCTCACCGCATGCTTGCCCGACTCATCATCCTGCTCTCTGAATGCTCAGGTTGGATTCATGCGGTCTACACCCCTGTGGACTCCATGGTGTTTGGAGGAAACTTCCTGCACAGCTTTAACATCCCTATGCAACTTAACATCTGCAGTATCGAGGACAGGACCAGGGTAGGTGCATCACACACTCCGTTCACACACCTGCTGCTGCTCAGACGTAGTACCGGAGGGTTCCTCTAGGGGGCACAGCAGAGAACTCAGACCTGACAGAGGGCCAGGTTTGTGGGTACCATAGACATCGATGGACCCTGCGTGACCGCTACTGCCTATAACCCCCAAATTCCACTACCTCCGCTCCGCTCCGACACGACCTCCGCAGCAAAATCGGTCCCGTTGTAGTCAATCAGAGCAATTCCACTACTGCAGCCGTGCTGCGGCAGTGCGGCACAGCCCTCTGTTCCGGCGTCCGGCAAAAATAGAATCGATTCTATTTTTGCCGGACGCCGGAGCAGCTCCGCAGTCAATGGACAGGAATCACAACCGCCCAACAGGAAAAGGAGCAAGCACAGCTTCCGTTATTTCACAATCAATCGATAACAAAAGGCGTTTTTTGTTTCATATGCACAGGTTTAACAACTTTTAACAACTATCGATGGCGGCTGAACTTTAAATGCACAAAAGTAAGCCATAAATACAGTTTCCACTATCAAAGTAGTCACACTTTGTTGATCCAAACACTGCTGATCTCTCAACACAAATGATGGGCAGATTAAACAGTTCATGCCGATGTTTCTCCCACACAACGGGTGTTTGGATCTAACTTCCGCGTTTATTGCTCGGACTGTATCGCCAGATCTTGAAAATCCCGCACATGCTTGTTTGCCCACCTCAGGTCTCCGCACCGGAGCGGAGCCGTTGTAGACCGGGTACCAGTAAAATTGAGTTCAGAAGCGAGCGGCTGCGGAAGGCGGGGGCGGAGCGGAATTTTGGGGTAAGCGCTGATGAGCGGTGGTGCCGCCATCTTGGATCGGTCAAAGTGGCGCCACCAAAACATATAATTAAAGTGCATCATTATTGTTCTTTAAAATGGTAGAAAAACTTCATCTAAGGTTGAAAGGTTACTTTGGTTATCCTTCCAGGGTTTCAGATAACTAGCAGGTGTTTAAAATCAATGGAAGCAGGCAGGCTTTCCTTAAAAACGCAGTTTTAGGGTGTAAACTTAGTAAAAGTCAAATAAAGACACCATAATAGATATCATAAAGAAATCATAAAGAAATCAGCTGTAATGTACTAACAGAAACTTATATGAATGAATGCATCTTAAAGTAGGTAATAATAAAGGACAAAACACTAAAATGTAAATCAGTGTTGTTAGTAATTAAACCTATATGTGACTATCACTACTCATTAGTAAATAACTGAAGCATAAAAATGAACTGAAATCAGTTATCAAAAAGATTTAACTTCAAAAGTTATCAAAATCACTAGAAATGGAAAAATAAAGAAAAATGGAATTTGGATCAGCATAACAGATAGTGGTTACTCACTTTGAACTGTTATGAACTTAAATCATATAAGTATGGAAAACCACAGCTTGACCACAGCCAAGATCAACCAAGCCTGCATGATATGTTTAGACATGAAATCTATTCACACACACACACACACACACACACCACACACACACACACACTCATCAGAACTTACGTGACCTGAATCAGAGAACCCAGCGAGAGCGGACGGAAGTTCACGCCCCTGTTGGCACGATTCAAGTTGGGTAGTCAGCTATATTGGTTGTAATAACATCCAAATTAGTGGAACCTTTGTGCGGTTTGATTTTGTTCTTGCGGACCCACAAATAGATGGGATCCTTGTTACTTTTGGTGATCTTGATCAGATACACGACCGGAGAGAGTGGTTTAGTTGTCAGGTATGGACCTGACCTTTCCTGCGAAGGGTTGTTAACCAGTTTACCAGAGGTGACTTTTGTGTGACCAGAATTAGGAGCAAAACTGAGGTCAGAATGAGAGGCCCTCTGATCATGAGTCATACTGCCCCCTGCTGGTTTCTTCAGACTTGTCTGTGGAAAGAAAACACTGCAGGCAGATGGTCGTTAAGGCTCTGCAAAACCCGCTCACTAGTGAAAGCCACAGCACCACCAGACTGAACTGGCTGGAACAGCAGGTGATGCTTAGACATCAAGAGATCTGGGAGTACCCGGAGTGAGACACCTGAAGAGAACCCAGGCTCATATGGTCGTATTAGAGGAGGCTGCGGAGGAAGCACAGCCACATTTAGGATCAGACACAGACATGTGACTAGCAAGAGAAACATCGTCTGTCCTGAAGACGGAAACCAAGAAGGATTTAGGCTATAGACAGGTGCAGGTGCTGCCTTACAAGGGTCCGGAGCAGATGTGCTCTCTGGAGGGCCCCCGGTCGACACACAGGTGTGATCAGAGAGATAGGGATCAGGGTCAGCCAGTAGAGGTACAGGGCGACATCCGACACCCCCCCCCCCCCCCCCCCCCCGGTAGGTAAGTCACCCACTTCAAGTTTACAGGTCATCAGCGCCAGCTGTAGTGGAGTAAAGTCAGTGATGGTTTCGGCCCCCACCATTGGTAGGTGGTGTTCCCACCGCAAAGTACTGGGCTTCAGCTGGAGTCTCAGTGCCACCATCAACTCTCCCTGCGGCAGGTGGTGTCCCCGCTGCAGGGTGTGGAGTCTCAGGCGGAGCATTGCTGCAAGCGTCAGCCTCCCCTGGGTCAGGTGGCTTCTCCAACTCAGGTAGGAGTGGTTCTGCTACAGGGACAACACAGGCTCTGTGGACATCAATGATCTTAGAGGTACTGGATTCCCTGGTCAGTCCAGCACCGTTGTGGTCAACAACACCTGAAAGAGGAGTGACACGAACACAAAAGAGAGCATGCAGCTCAGGAACGGAGTCAAACTCCAGAGAAAGATGTAGATGAGCTTTTGGATCAGAAAGGTGCGAGATCATCCTGCTGATAGTTGGGTCCTGGAACTGAACACTGATAAGGTAATTTATAGAAAAGGCAAGTTGAAAAGACACAAACCCACTAGATGGTTGAAAGATGGACGCATCATCAGGGGGCCACAAGGGTTTGAGGGACCCTGATGTGCCCACATCTTTACCTTGAAGAAGAAGAAGAAAAAAATATCATTTCTATAGCGCCTCTCAAGATAAAAATCACGAGGCGCTTCACAAAAACAAAAAATGTAAAACTATTAAAAAGCATTTTGAAAATGTTTAAATAAATATATTTAAAATGAGCAAAAATAGACAATTGTGATTAAAATATGATAAGAAAGAGAGAGAGTGAACAGGAAAGAGGGAAACCAGTGGATCCTGAGGAAGGTGGAATAGGTGGGGAGAGCAGAATAAAGAGAGAGAGGTGAAGAAGGTCATACAAAAGCCAGCTTGAACAAGTGAGTCTTCAGCTGCTTTTTAAAGGAGACCACTGAGTCCACTGATCTCAGGCTCAGGGGGAGAGAGGTCCAGAGTCTGGGGGTCACAGCAGCAGATGATCTGTCACCTTTGACCTTTAGCCTGGTGCTGCACAACCAGTAGGCTTTGATCACTGGACCTCAGGGACCTGCTGGGGGTGTAGGGACTAAGAAGATCACCAATGTAAGATGGTGCTTGTCCATGTAAGGCCCTGTAGACCAGAACCAGGATCTTGGAATGAATCCTGAAGTTGACTGGCAGCCAGTGAAGCTGGAGGAGAAGCGGGGTGATGTGGGTGTGTTTGGAGGACTTGGTCAGAAGCCGAGCACAGGCGTTCTGAACCACCTGTAGACGGTTCAGGGAGGTTCTGCTCAGACACGTGAAAAGAGAGTTACAGTAGTCTAAGCGTGAGGAGATGAAGGTGTGGAGAACTGTCTCAAGTTCAGAGCGGGACAGAATGGGACTCAGCTTAGCAACGTTCCTGAGATGGAAGAAGGAAGAGCCAACAAGAGAACTGACATGAGAATCCAGGGTGAGAGCTGGGTCAAAGGTCACGCCAAGATTCCTAACAGAAGGTTTGGTGTGGGAAGCAAGCTGACCAAGAGAGTCTCTGACTTTGGGAACCAGCTTGATAATCCCTCCTTTTCTGATAATTTCTGTCCTTTTTTATATTTTTCTGAGCAGAACGACTGTCTTAACCAGTCTGCAGACAATGGTGTGTTTGAGAGGTCACTCTACCTATTCGTACCACCTGTGGAGAACATTGTCCTACGGGGGTGGGATGATGTTTACCTGTTTATCTTTGCTCTTCCTCCACAGGTTCCAGGGAAGTTCCGTTTCCCTTTCTTCTATGAGATGTGCTGGTATGTGTTGGAGCGGTACGTCTTCAGTCTAACCAGCACCTCTTACCTCATACCTGAGTACCAGAAACACTCCCTGGGCATAGGTAAGCAACACACAGGCTTGTTGCATGATGCTGAGTGCGGCTCCACTCGACTCAACTCCATACGGTGTGGGAACTGGGAAACGGCTCTAGTGGGTGCGCTTGTCTTAATCAAGGACTGACGGTGGCTTACGTCACAGTCTTGGCCCAGCCTAGTCAGAGGGTTAGGGTTAGACCTGGCTGTATGGTTTGATAAGCTAGAGATTATTATTACAAACCATCCAACGCCATTTGTGCCGAGTGTACGCACCCTTGTGTGGAGGTCCATGGGTGATCCTGGGGGTCAAGAGGTCGGGGTGGACAAAGCTGGTAGAGTGGACCTTTGGCGACCAAACTCATAGATAGCTCCGATACGACCCATCTAGATGGCCATCTACATGCCTCCAGGTGACGGCAGGAAGACGGAGAAGCATGAATCAGGCTTAAGGCTGTTGGGTGGCTCTTAAAACAGCCGTAATGTCTGTTATCACCCACAACTGTTGCAGAGCGTTGTTTAGGCCTGAGGTCAAAAGAGAGGATGTCTCAAATGCTTGCTCACCGGTTTGGCCGAACCAGGAGGCAGCTGGAGAACTGCTTAGTTCAGGAAGTGATCCAGCTTTTATTAATTCTTGTTTACAAATATACAAGTTAGAATTTGGCACGTTTTAAAGGGTGTTAAAGACCTCAGAGAGATCACTCCTTCTCAGTCACATACATAGAGAGGTTAACTCTTTGTGGAGGTGCAGTGAGAATGTTATTACATGTTTATGTGGTGCAAAAATGTTAAAACATTAATTCATCAATTATGATTGCGTGAATATACTGGTACATTTAACAAACACTAATCTGGTATCATTTAAGACCTGAAATGAATCATTACAGGATTTATATTGATTTAAACACATCATTATTAAAGCACACACCATATATTTATACACTTTGGATTTTTTTTAATGCTCTGTAATTCCGACCAGACACGGAGACAGAGGTGAAAGAGAAAGGAAAAGAAAAGGTGGGGAGGGGGGGGGGGGGGGTCCACAAAAATAAACAATAATGAACAAGAGTCTGCTTCTAGACCTGCAGAAAAAGACAAAAAGAAGCAAAAGAACAAAAAAATGGAACACAACAACAATACAACACGAGCAAGCTATCACTGCGTCAACTTGATGAAGAAATATATAATCAACATTGTTTAACTGAAGAATCATGATAATAAATCACAGTACATTAAGTGCCCCCCATAGTCTTAAGACCTGTGTTTAACGTGCCCAAGTCCATACTTTTGAGAGCACCATGTTAGCACCTGCGTGTGTACACGCGCTAGTTTATGTAAGGCACATATGTCAGAGTCAAGGCCCGCGGGCCAGATGCGGCCCGCGGAGCATTTTTATGTGGCCCGCAAGATAAATATCAAAAATATATTAAAACTGGCCCGCTGGCCGATTTTACCGCAAAGACTACAACTCCCATGATGCTTTGCGGCGCCAGCGCGGAGCAGACGCGCCCCCTCCTTTGTGTTTTTTCAGCGCCGAGGCAGTCAGAGGTAGTTGGGTGTCTGCAGCTCCGCTGTCTCGGACAAACTACACTCCTCTCACTCAGCGCCGAGTTCACTCAGCTGTTTTCTGACGTTGAAGTCCAGAAACGGAGATTCTAGCTGCTCAGTAATGTGTTCACGACTGAAAGAGAAAGTTTTCCAACTAACTTCCAGACAGAGCCGATATAACTCCAGCGAGCAGCGACACGCTCAAACCAGCACGGCTCTGTGGTTGCTGTCATGTTTCCCCCCCGACACACAACAACGTGGTCAAGCTGCTCAGACATGTTCATCAGCACAAACCTATGTGAGCACCTGTTGTCATCTAATGTTGTCATTATTATGATGAAGATGAACAAAACAACAGGAGTCTCCTCCTCAGCTCAGATCAACCCCATGATGCAGGTATCTGGCTGGAACAGGTGAGCATCACAGTAAACCAGTGGAGCAAACTGAGCTTTAAATATGTTGGTTTGATGCTCTTTTTCTGCTCCAAAACATGAAAGTTAACAGGTGAGATGTTGCATTGTCATTTAAGATAAAATGATATTTTATTTTGTTGTTGGCCCGTGAGAAAAGATTTAACCTACAGTAAACAGGAAGTGGAAAGGCTGCAGATAGATGAATAGAATAGAAAATCCCTTTATTGTTCCTCAGTGGGGAAAGCTAGACGTCACAGCAGCGATGACACGTATTACAGGAGAAAAAAGGAGAATAAAAAATAAGAAAAATGAATAAACAAGAAAACATAAATCCTGAATAGATTTTTAAAATGCTGAATATACCACAAGTAATGAATACCACTGATGCCTTTTATTTAAAACGGACTTGCTCGTGTGTAATTTGGTTATTCCACATTCAGTGTTAATGCAGAAATATGTTTCTTTCCAAATTTAAAGGTTCAAAATTGCATATATGTTGATAAAGAAAATGTGCAAATTTGCCGTCACTTTTTCAAAAAATATTAAGTTTGGCCCTCGACTCCGTCCCAGAGTTTCATTTCGGCCCCTTGTGAGTTTGAGTTTGACACCCCTGATGTAAGGTTTCTCTATAGGAGCGTCCAACAGAGAGTGTGAGGGACCACAGATCCGCCCCCCAAAGATGCGTAGGAGACGGGGGGGGGGGGGCTCCAAGTCCCAGAGATCCAGGCGCTGCCCCAGAACACAGGAACCCCAGGGAGACTGCAACCAGAAAGGCCCCTGCCCCCCTCGAGAGGCACAGAGGATCGCCCCAGGGGGCCACAACCAGCAGCCAGCAGAGTCCCGGGAGACATCAGCGGCAAGCCCACAGGCCCGCCCGCAGCCTCCCACCCCCTAGCCGGCCGAGCCCGGGACCCAGGGGCAACCACCCCTGCCGGGGACCCAGCAGAGCCCAGGGACCCAGACCCCACCAGGCAGCCGCCGGGATTGATCAGGCAGATGCCAAAATCTTAAACCCCCAGACCCGGTTGCCACGAACACTCAGGCAGACCAAGGCACAACCCCTCACACCAGCTGT